CACTTGGATTTTCTAAGAGGCAGTGGTGCAGGGGATTTGGCCTCAGAGTCAGGAAGATTTCCGTCACACGTCCAGACTTCTGACATATCCTGGCTTTGTGATGTTGGCAAATCACGTAACTTCTCAGTGCCCCAGCCGACTAACTAAGACTCCCAAGTTGCTGAGCAGATGCTGATATGCATTGACATAGGAAGTTACCTCAAAATGAGATTCCTATCCCAATGAAAGAAAAGCGCTATTAAAAATAAAACAACCTAACTCTAAAATTTAGATGATGTTTTAAAAAGGTGATATGCTCACTGAAGTAAACCTCTTTTTTTCAGAAAAGCTACTTATATAAATTTAAGCACTTCCTTGTAAGAACATCTTAGACAGGTTGTATTTATAATTAAGAAAATAAAGTACTAATTGTGGGAATAGCGATAATATAATTAACAAAGAAAGTAGACAATCCTAATATGCTATGTTTTATTTTTATTAAAAGGTAAGAAGGACAACTTTTTTAACAAAAGCTAAAAATAAAAATTCATCACATGCCCCTCATTCCATCCTCCTAACCTGTGACATGTGACCATGTGTTTTAATGGAGCTGAACTTTGCTGCCATTTATAACTTAATAAATAATTTCTTGCCAAGGGAAAGACAAAACCTAATAGGTTGAATTGTTTTGTGTAAATACTTTTCTATCTCAGAAACCTATAAGCACTACAAATTTATGATTTTTGGCAAACCAAATGAATGGCATCAGTGAAGGAAGCAGAGAAAAGAGGTTAGTGAAAAGTGTATTTAGGATGGATGCCACCTCCCAGCAAGTAATAATTTAAGTATAAAGTAATCAGAAAGAGACCACAGGAGCTGGTTTTCAACCGAAGACATTATTATAGGTTTAAAACAATAAATGCTGTTAATCAATAGCTCAGCCTGAACCTTTAGTATAATCTGAAGAGTTCCACATGCCCCAAGATGACACAGGCTTAGAACTATAAAGAATCTCCAATTTACTAATCCAGACAGCTTTCATCAGCCCTACCAGAATACATGTCATAGGAGTAGGGAGAGCAAAATGTAATGTAGCTTGGAACCAAAGACTCCCAATGAAGCTTGGCTTCTAGGTGAAACTACCTTCTATCGATGGCTTTTAGTAACTGAATACCTAAACAGCTTTGGATGGGGTCCAGGATAAGCTACCTTGCTAGGAGGTGCTCATGGGATGAAATAATGGTTGGGATTTAGTTAATATTTACGCTAGAAAAACTCAGGTTTTAAAAAATATATTAATGAGTAATACATGAGTCCAAACTTAATAGAACAATTCCCCTTAATAAATGGATTTATTTTGTAAAGCTTGGACTCAGTCCAGGGCTGCACCAAAGACCTAGAAGGCCACATGTGGCCTTAAGGCCTCAGGTTCCCTACCCCTGAAACCCATTTCCTTGGTTCTTGGGTTTATTTGCCCAATGTTTATAGGTCTTCAGTAACTAGTGTTGGTGGTAGCAACGAAAGAGGGCTCTTTCTCCATGGTGATGACTCCCTTCAACAATGACTGTGGACTTTAGGCCACATGGAGGGCCACTGATCTTGGGGGTATTGCTATTTCCAAGGTTCTTGGGTTAAGTGTCCTGCAATATCTCCATTGAGCATGAGGGAAGGTGGTGGTTGAAGTGGTGGTGGTTTGATTTGCCTGGCACATGATCCTTCCTTTTGTCTCTTTCAGGTTGCCTATGAATTTGCTCTCTAGAGTTAAGTGCTTTGACATCTTCAAGGAAGTCTATGTAATTCATAATGAACCTAAGTTGGGATTGTTATTGGAAGCTCATAATAAATGGTGGAAGATCTACTTCTTAGATAGGATTGATTTGCCACAAGTACCTGTGAAAATCAAACCAAATCTACTGCTGGGATCCTTCAAATAAAATGAAATGAAAAGCTGGTGCCTTAGGATTAAGGTTCTTGCACCTGGCTAACTATGGATTTTCCTTTCAGTGTTCCACATTTTAGCTTTTCAGGGTTTTGAAACACCAAATATTCATAGTTGATATTAAAAATGAGACAGCAAGAACTCCATTTGAAAAATTGAAGCTGTGTAACTGAAAAATTGATTTTTGAAGTATATGTATGCTCTTGGTGAGAAAAATCTAGAACTGCAAAGAAGATTCAAGTTGGCAACCTAGAAATCAAATATAAAACTCCACTTCTTGGTCACAATTTCAGCCTAGCCCATGAAGCCATTTATAGCGGCCCATAGGGGTGAGTGCATGCTGGCCCTTTCCTCCTCAGCATTCACAGCTCTCGAAGACCAAGAAAATTATATTCTTACTACTCACATCCTTGGCCCTGTCAAATGATTTGACATCAGAAACAGATATGATTATTGGTAGAAATAACATTAAAGAGGATGCATTACTATGTGTTTTACTGCTGCACCCTAAGGTGCATGTGGGACCTTTTCATCTGAAAAGTTGAGAGCTATGTGTTGTCTCCCTTCAAATACAAACTCCATGAGAACAGGGACTCTTATTTCTTCTCTTTGCATCCCTGACATTGAGTACAGTGCTATGTATATGGTAAGTGCTTAATAAATGCATTTTCATTCATTCATTTTTCATTCATTTAAAAATTTCATGAAAAGCAGATTCTGCAAACTATTGAGTAAAATAGTTTACCCTGGGAGTAAAACCACAAGTGCTCAGGGATGGTGTCTCACTCTTTCAATCAATTGGATACCATGATTTAGTTATTCGTTCCTGTAGGGCAGCTTCCTAAGAGAGTTTGAGCCAAAGTGGATATTAACTAGACCAAGGGTGGGGAACCTGTGACTTCAGGGCCACATGTGGCCCTTTAGGTCCTCAAGTACAGCCCTTTGACTGCACTTGGGGACCTAGAGGGCCCCCTGTGACCTTGAGGCCACAGGTTACCTTAAAAAATGCCAACGAATCAAACATAGCTTTCTGTTGATGAAAAATTGGATGCTATATATGGATGAACAGATTCATTGTCCTGGTCTCCAATCTCCTTCCCATTTCCCTTGCCCCAACCTATGTGATTCATCAGCAATGTTAACTTTTTTTTTAACATCCAAATGACATCTATTCTCTCCAGTTATTGTCACTTTTTGTTAGCAACTAACCAGATTACCGTAACATCTAACAGACATGATTGTCAACAACATCCCATTCCTTTATGAAAATCTGAGTATATTTGGAATCAGAAGGCCTATGTCTGGATCAGTCTGGTTCAGCCACTTAGTTCACCTGAATTTGTGCAACAAGTCACTTCATCTCTTTTGTAAAATTAAGTGGCTGGACTGGGTGATCTCTAAGGCATGTGATATTCCAGTTTCCTCATCCTGACCCTACTCCAATTTGCTGGCGTTACAGAACAGTCCCTAACACTTCACGTAACCTGACACTAGCCTGTGTGGTTGACTTTGGAGAAGGTTGATCGCTCAAACTGGAGAATAGTCTATTCCACAGCAAGATAGATGTGGTTGTCTGAGCCTTTGCTAACTCCTCACAGATCATCCTTACATTATACTCTGCTGAAAAAGAAATCTCCTTTAGCTCAGACTGTAGCTCAAGAGCTTTATATTGACAACCATAATTCGTATTTACTGTAAATGTCATCATGCCTTAAACCCCAAAATGTATTTCCAAAGTCCAACTCGAGACTTTCCTTGATGATTTTTTTTTTCAGGACTTATGTATATCAGAGCTCTGGGAAATCACTGCCTAGTAATTTTGACATGAATGGTAGGGTGGTACAGATGGCCGGAGCATCTTAATGATTCACAGTTAACTAGATTTACAGTTGAAGATTTACAGTGTTAAATTTACCTTTATTACACACACATTTACCACAACGGACAACTGTATCCTCAAAGCTTGCAGTCATAGACATCTTCCAGAAATCTATCTTGCAAGCCGTTCATATTAACAATAAATTATATATTTTTTGGCAGGGCCACAGCATAACCTCTCAAGCAATAAATATCAGTCTACAATAATCTGTGTTGAAAGATAGGATGAACAGCTTTTTCTCCACATATACTGAAAAGAGTTCACAAATACTGCCAGCCATTCTCAGCCCCAGGACACACAACCTACAAATTCTCAGAAGAAACTTCTCCACCTCTGATAAAATTGTGGTTATTTTAAACAATGCAAATATCATATGCTTACTTTCCCCAACCCAGGAGCCACCAAATTTGATGTAGTGCTGGGTAACATGTAAGAGTAGCTGCACTGACTTACGTACTGGAAGTTGGAAAAAAGCATTTTAAAAATGGAGCAAAGGGGACTGTGGGTGTGGAGCTCTGCCCATACTTACTCAGTGGACCCACAGGAGAATTTTGCTGAACTTTTTTTCCCTTTCCCTTTTTATCAAAGCTTTGTTACAAGGCATGATTTACCGTGTGTGAGAGGGGAGGTCATATTCGGAAGTGAAAGCAATGATAAAAGCAAAATAAATCTTTTTATTTTATTTTATTTTTCCCAAGTGATGCAAAGGAAAGATGGGTGTTCTGAGCCAGACTTCTGATTTGGGTGTAGGCTCTCAGTAGCACCTGTATCTCTACAGGCTCCAAGTAACCTCAGTCTGAGGAGCTTTAATAGAAAGAATTGGGAGCTTGACCCTGGAGAGCTACAGCATCTAAAGGTCCCTCTGGCCTTTGAGTCCCTCTAACAGTCCCCCGTCCCCCCCAGCCCCCGTGCTTCTCTCCCTTTTCCACAGTGCCATTCCACTCCCCCTCCGCCTTTCCATGCACACACCTTCGACCTCCTCAGCACCCCTCCCCACCTCTTGGCGAGCCTTCACTGAGTCCACTTCTCTCTCCCCCTGACCCCCTGGCCCAGCCTGTCCAGAGCAGAAGCTGAGCTGGCAGGCCACCTCACCAAGCACAGGAAAGGGGCGCCAGCGAGGTGGAGGCGCTGGGGAGGGTGCACAAAAAGGGTCCGGAGAAGGACCCTGGGGACTTCTCGGGATGGGGATGGAGGGCGACTCACCTGGCCCTCGAGCTCGGAAGCTGCGGACCGTGTTGCCCTCTGGGAGGGGTGCGTGCCGGGGCTGCCTGGGTTTTGGGGGCGCCTCAGCCATGGGAGGACCACCTCCGCGGTACTTGTCATAGAGGAGCAGCATATGCTCGGCCACCTGGTCCGGAGGCTGTCTCTCTAGTGCGGGGCTCCTGCCGGCGCCTCGGGCCAGCAGTCCCGGGAGCGCGTCGTGGGACCCCTGGGGGTGCTGCTGCAGGCTCTCCGCGCGCCCCACGCTCGCGTAGCTCCAGCTGAACCACAGGCAGAGCAGGCAGCGGAGCCCGGCCATCCTCCTCCTGGGGCGCTGCCCTCCCGGGAGCGTCCGGCTGCTCCTCAGTGGCCCTTAGGGCGGTCCTGGCGACGCCTGCCTCCGAGGGCGAGGGCAGTGAGGCGGACTGCGGGCACGCGGGAGCCGGGGTAGCTAGGAGAGACCCCCCAGGCAAGGGAAGCGGAGAGCCGGGGCCCGCCTCAGTTAGCCGCAGTGGGGTGAAGAGAGTGCCTAAGTCAGCGCTAGTTCTCAGGCTGTCTCAGGGAGCTGCTGCCAGAGAAACCGGCGGGAGCGGTCATGGAAGGCGAGCGCTTCGGGGCGCTGCGGGGACAGCCCAGCGGGCGAGGCGGGACGTGGGCACCCGACGATCTTCAGGGCGGGGGGCGTCCGCGGCTTTCCGGGGCTATTCTTACCATCCCCTTCTGCCCTGGCTCTCGGAGAGGCGGGCAGGGGTGGGGAGATCAGCTGGTGGGGGGCGGGGGGCAGGAGAAGCCCGGCGGCGTGGGCACTGCTTTGCGTTCCTTCTCTCTGTAGCGCCTCTTCGGAAAGGCATTTGCAAAGCCCAGGCTCAGCCACTCCGAGTTGTGTGTGTGTGAGTGCGTGTGTGCGTGTGCGTGTGTGCATGTGTGTGTGTGCATGTGCGTGTGTGTGTATGTGTGTCCGCTGTCTGCACTGATCTGTGCAATCAGCAGCCAATGGCTCATTCCCAGCTCGGACACCGCTGGCGGCTGCCCGAGAGGCAGAGAAGGGGAAACTCACCAGAGCAGGAGGGGGAAGAAGACTGGAGACGGAGAATAGAGTAGGAAGAGGAAAAGGAAAGGAAGGGGCCTGGGATACTCGAGAGGAGAGCAGAAAGAGGCTAGGGGGCGGGGAAGGGATAGAGGAAAGCGAACTTTTGATTCATTCCCCCAGAGTAACCTTGTTTCAACCAGCGACTGCGAAGTAGCAAGACTTCTTCCCACTAACCCTACCTTTCCGGCCAGCCACAGAATAAAGAGAGGAAAGCAACAGGACCAAGGAGCGGGGTGAGAAAGGGGCAAAAAACCAGTGGCATGATACGTAGCAAATCTCAGCGCCAGCTGTTTCCTGCTTCAGGGAGTACAGGCTGGGCGCAGGTGAATGGAGCGCTCCGCCTCGGGGGAACTGCTAGCCTGGGTATCACTCTCACTCGCCCCCACCCACCCTGGAGGGGGAACTGGCTTCTTGACTGCTGGAGTTAAGGCTGGTCAGATCCTCTTGCTTAGGTCGAGGGGCTAGAAGTGTGTGGTGGGGGAATACAATGGAAGTAAGATGTCATCAATGGAGAAGGTATCAATTGGATGGAATGCATTTGGGTGGAACCCTTTCCGATTGATACATTTTCAAAGCGAGCGTTTACGCCTCAGAAACTAGCAAATCTACAAATCAGAGCTTGTTTCTACTTATTGATTGATTGATTGATTGTCGATTGTCTAGACTCAGGGAAGTGGTGGAGTAAATGTTAACAGTACAGATTAAACTTAGAAGAATGCCAAAATTTTTGAACAAGCTGGATGTTAAATATGAGCCAGCGTACTCTCGATAGGAAATAAACCATTCCATAAGCTGTACATGGAGAGGATATTCCCAGAGGGTGAAAAGATGATATTGCCATTTAAAACAAGGACAACACCAAAGAAATTGGAAACAATCATGTTTTGGGGAGTCAAAATTTGCAGAAAAAAACCAAAGCAAGGCATTAGATCGCAGTAAAGAGAACTCATGACAGTCCTAACTCTGGCGCCTTTCTATCAAATGGCAAGAATCAGCCAGAAGCTCAGAATAAAGAATCCTAGCCGTTAGACTGTGTTAATGCTTACTCTCTGAACCCAGTACCTAATTTGCCAATTTTATCAGTCAAATTAACTTTCACAATTTAATTTTTACATTTAAAAATACTTCCATGTACTATTATCATCACAGAATGAATTTTTTTCTAATTATATAGGATTGGGGGTGTGGAGAGGGAGAGAGACAGAAACAAAAAGAACTTGCAATTGAAACAGTTACCAAATCTGATTTGATATTCTAGTGATATCCTTACTATAGTGTACATGAGTGCCTATTGCTTATGAACATACACTAACATTATTAAAATGTGACATTATACAGAGAGACTGCTCTTCACCCCTCCCCAAAGGCTTGACAGATAAGCTTATCAATCAAACAATAAATATTTATTGATCTCAGAACTATGCCCTTCCTACTCTAACCCCTTCCTACCTTTTCAGTCTTGTTACATCTTACTCTTCAATCTTAGTTGTATGGTCTTCCTGGCTGTTCCTTATACAAGACACTCCTCTCGGCTCCAGGCATTTTCTCTGATTGTCTCCCAGTCCTGGAATGCTCTACCTGCTCTACTCAAACTACTGACCTCCCTGGTTTCCTTTAAGTCCCAACTAAAATCCTACTTTTTTTGCAGGAAGCCTTCCCTAACCCCTCTTAATTCCAGGGCTTTCCCTCTTTTAATTATTTCCTAATTATCTGTTATATAGCTTGCTTTGTATATAGTAGTTTCTATCTTGTCTCCCCATTAGATTGTAAGCTCCTTGAGAGCAAGGACTATTTTTTGCCTCTCTTTGTGTTTCCAGTGTTTAGCACAGTTACTGCTATGTAGTAGGCACTTAATGTTTATTGAATCAAATCGAAATGAAATAAGAGAAGATCAGTGTGGGATGAAATATTTCAGGGAAGGCATCATGGAGCAATTAGGACCTAAACCACAAGACATTGTAACCAAGACAAGCTTTGCTAGTTTGGAAGCCATGAGTAGTAAAAATTAAGTGTCACAAGTGAGATTGGAGAGGCAGAAATTAACCCAAGAAAATTTTCAAAGGAAGCATCAATAGCATTTGGTAATTGAGAAGATATTGGAGGAAAAGGTGGATGAATTTTAAATCATTTAAAAAATTTGGATTATTGCGATGGTTCCATTGATAAGGCAATTGTGATAGAGCTTTTACTAGATAGGAATGTCATTGATTTGGTTTGGGATATGTTGAGCTTGAGCTGAAAAGGGCACTTAGGTAGAAATGCACGTGGGTCTGGGGTAAGAATGTAGGACCAGAGATATAGATTTAGACCTTGTTAGCAAAGATGAACTCTTGGAGTTAAAGAGGGTAAAGAAAAGGACAGTCTTGAAGTGGGAAGAATAGACAAAAACAAAAACAGAAGAAACAGAAAATAGGCTAGACCTGTTGATGGCATAATGAGATGTCGAGGAAATCACAAGGAGAATTCTAAGGAGAAGAAGCCCCTCCTCCACACACACTGATTTTCTCCTCTTGTGTAACTGGGGTCTTCCTATGAAGCATGTTTTAGGATGAGGTTGTGTCCTGGTCCATGTTTGCAGCGGATGGACTGTAGAACATGGAGTCAGGAAGACTGGAGTATGATTCCTGCCTCAGACAATAACTAATTGTGTGAGCACAGACAAATCACTTGACCGCTCTGTGCCTCAGTTTCCTCATCTGTAAAAAATGGTGATAATAACAGCTACCTCACAGGGTTATTAGAAGGATCAAATGAGTTAACATATGTAAAACACCTTGCAAAACTTTAAGTGCTATGTAAATATGGGTTATTATTAATATTAATTGTATGCCGTGATCCTTTCTAAAGGCATGCATGATCAGAGGCTCCTAGCTGGCTCCCTTGTTTCTGAGTTGGGGAAAGGGGTGTGCTATGTCAAAGAAGATTGGCAGTTCAGCCCATTTGGCAGGTTACAAATCAGATGATTTCTGGTGTCTTTTGGGAGCAGCCTTTTGACTGGGAGTTAGCCAACACTAGCTCTCCCTTAGACTTCCAACAAATGTAAGGGGATTTTTTTCCACTCTCCTCCCCCAGTACAGTGGAAGGTGTGGGTAATGTTAGAGTATAACATTGGGGAGAGGGGAATGAGCATGAAGAAGTGAGGGTTGAAAATGAGTGTTGTATAACAGTTCAAGATCATTGGATGCAGAGAATATGACTGGATGGAAGTTTGTTAATTATTGCTGAATGAATTCAGGAGGATTATTGACATGACTAGAGGTTTAGCCTCAGGGCGGTCTTCTCAGATGTTACACAGCTCAGGCAGAGGACCAGTGTGAGGAGTTGATGGAGAAGGATTTCTCTGCTATCCCTGAAGGCAGACCAAGGCAGGATATAGGTGGAGGGAGCTAGAAGCAATGGCATCTCTCTGTCCCCTATAGGCAGGAAGCATCACCTGTGTGTAAGAGGGATGCTTGCAAGTGAGGAGAAGCCAGTCTAGGGGAGTAGCACATGATGAAATAATTCTGATCTCCTGCTGGCAGGAAGAGTCCAGGTAAGGAGATCTCAACTAGAGGGAAATATGTATATATTCTATAGTTAACAAATTTGCTTTAATCTTAAATCCTTTCCTTTCCCATTCCTTGCATCATCTTCTGGCTTTCACTGAGACCTGATTCCTTCTCAATGACACATTTCCCTGGCCAACTTTTCCAAACTGGTTGTACTTTCAGTCATTTCTCCTGATTCACTGGTTGAGGTAGGGGAGCTGAAATACCCCTTGCTCCACATTGCTACTTCCAAGTCCTCCCTTTACCTCCATCAGTAACTAACCTCTCCTCCTTTGAGGTTCAGCCAATCTATATCTATGACATAATCAGAATTCTGGTAGCTACTGTCTATCAATCTGCAGGACACTCTGTGGTGCATGTCTTCACAATCTTTCCTCCCCAACTCCTACCCTAATACTCGGGGACTTCAACATTGATATTGAATATTAATATCAATATCAATATTGATACTACCTCAAACACTCTAATCTCCCAGTCCCTCAAATTGCTAATTTCACATGACCTTTTTTTTTTTTTGGCTAGGCAATGGGGTTAAGTGACTTGCCTAGGGCCACACAGCTAGTAAGTGTTATGTGTCTGAGGCCAGATTTGAACTCAGGTCCTCCTTACTCCACTGCATCACCTGGCTGCCCCACATGACCTATTGCTTCACCTCACCTTAGCCAAACACAAAGACAGTCAGACCCTTGATCTTGCCATCAC